TTGACATTCATATCCGAATTCACCACCGACATTCAACACATTAAAGGTGATGAAAATATCGTCGCGGATACAATGTCACGCATTGAAGTTGTGTCTCTCCCGCTGGACTACCGAGCTCTTGCTGCATCTCAAGACACGGATGATGAACTCAAACATTTTACTGACAACAATTCATCTCTTCATTTGGAGAAGGTACTAGTGCCAGGATCTTCAGCCTATATTTATTGCGACACGTCAACGGGACGCCCACGACCATTTTTGCCACAACGATTCCGGCGTCACGCATTTGATCAGTTACACAACCTTAGTCACCCCGGTGCACGCGCAACAGCTCACTTAGTTTCAGAACGATTTGTGTGGCCAGCAATGAAAAAGGATTGCCGTTCCTGGGCACGTGCCTGCGTCCACTGTCAGCGATCGAAAATAAGCCGACACGTCTCAGCCCCACTGGGAAACTTTGAAACACCTTCACGCCGATTCAAACATGTTCATGTCGATATCATCGGTCCATTGCCGCCATCACAGTCCTTTAGGTACTGTCTGACGGTAATCGACCGTTTCACCCGTTGGCCGGAGGTGTATCCACTCGAACGTATAACAGCAGATGATGTCACTAAGGGTTTCCTCAATTGCTGGATTTCACGCTTCGGAGTACCTCAATACGTTACGACTGACCGTGGTACTCAGTTTGTTTCAGCTACTTTAAAAACTTTAGCAAAACGTTTTGGTTTTACGCTTCGCCCCACTACCAGTTGGCATCCTGCTGCAAACGGATTCGTCGAACGAATGCACCGACAACTAAAGGCAGCCATCATGGCCCACGCAAAAGACTCGTGGACTGAGTCACTGCCTATCGTGCTTCTCGGAATACGTTCTGCGTTTAAGGAAGACTTAAAAGCCACGTCTGCGGAACTTGTTTATGGGGAGCCTCTTAATCTTCCTGGTGATTTCTTCACAGACAATCAAGATAATAGCAGTACGAACGACCCTACTAGCTTACTAGATCGTCTTCGCAGTGTTATGAATAAAATCCGTCCAGTACCTGCATCTCGCCACTCAAATCCACGATCATTTGTTTTTGCGGACCTTAAGGACTGTTCACACGTATTTCTCAGGGAGGGAGGTGTCCGAGCAGCACTTCAACCGCCATATCAAGGTCCCTACGAAGTAATTGCCCGAAATGACAAAACGTTCACAATAAAAGTTCGAAATCAACCAGTTACGGTGACGATTGATAGAGTAAAACCTGCCTACCTCATGGTGAACGAAAGCACAACCGATAGCCAGGCACATGCTCCACCAGCGACTGCCCCGAATACGCCCAAACAAAAACAACCGCCTAATACCGATCCATCAACACAGCCAGTACGAACAACTCGCTCAGGCCGCCGAGTCAGATTCCCGGACATTTTTGACCCTAGCTAACTCCACTCCGTAGGGGGGTAGTGTGGCGGTCGAATGTTCTAGAATGTTCGGCCGCTGCCGCCTCTAGAAGATTCGTCGCTCTACATAAACGTGTGACGGTCGAATGTTCTAGAGAGTTCCGCCACCGCCTCTAGAAGATTCCTCTGACTATTTAAGGGCAAGATCGTCGCTCCAGTTAATCAATCGATCAGTCAATCACTTACGCATTCTGTCTTAAACGCGCTTCGTCTCTCGCTGTTATTTGTTAGTTCGTTGTAATATAGTATAGTTGTTATTAAATCGTAAAAGTGTTTATTACTTCTATATATATTAATTAATATATTGTATATATTACACCTCGCTACAATTTCTTGTGGCAGTACTTCCAAATCCAAAAATTCTGAATATATTTCAAAATCATTTAAATCAATTTCAAATGTATCGCATGTTTTTGGTAATAACTTGTGCGATGAAGAAATTATTTTTTTATGATTATTTAACCTTGTTTGAAGCTGTTCAATAAAGTCGTCAAAAAAAGGAATAGCTATTGTAATACGGTAGTATTCTTCAGGTGAATTCACGACAATATTACTTCGATTTTTTTGATGTCCAACAATTCTAGGTATTCTTATACATTCTTCGTCATCAATTGATTTTATAAGAGCCTCATAAGAGCTTTTTTAAAAATATTGGAAAATGTATTATCCATATTACTTCGCATATCATTTATTTCGTGTAGCACAATATCAACATACGCCATTGCTTCGGTCAAATCACAATTTACAGACTGTAAATTCTTACACAGTGGCAATGTTAAGGAAAAAAGTATAGATGCTGAGACCATACTTATTACAAAATTACTGGTTATAATAGTTTTTCCAAATTGTAATGCTTTTGATGACGTTTCAATATCACGAGTGAACTGTAATTCTTCCAATGTATTAACAATTGCCTTATAAATTTCTGTAAATCTTATTAGTCCGTCGTGATTTTCTACCCAACGTGTCTCGCACATTGATGTAAGTTTGGTCCACTTAGATTCAGGAAATTGTTCTTTGATGTATTTTTTTAAAATTTTGGTTCGCATTGCTGAACCTTTAATGAAATTTCCCACCGATTTTATGGTACCAATACAGTTACGAATATGTTGAATACTACAGGAATGAGAGAGAGCCAAATTTAAAGAATGAGTTAAAGAATTCTTTTCGAATAATTGCTTGCACTTCTTTGAAATTTCCGCTCATTGCAGCCGCCCCGTCGTATCCTTGTCCTACCATATACTTCGGATTTATTCCAAGAGATTTAATACTATCTAAGATGATATTGGCTAAATTTTTACCAGTCATATTTTCTACAGACACGAATTTTAAAAAATCTTCACGTAAAATGAATTGATGTTCAGGATCTTCATCGATATATCGAATACAAAGTGACATTTGTTCAATTCGCGATATATCAGTCGTCTCGTCTACTAAAATTGAAAATGATTTTGCCCTATTGATTCTATCCACTAAACAATTTTGAATTATTTTTCCAATTATATCAATTAAATTATTTTGAATAGTAGGACTTAAATACATAGCTTTAAATGTTTCATTTTCAATACAATCAGTCATCATTTTATTACCGCAGTTCATTCGCATTCGCAGAAGAGCTCTAAAATTACCATCATTGTGGACTGGCTCATTTAAAGTGAGTGGTCCAGAATCAGATGTACCACGAAGAGCCAATTCTTGACGACCACACAAAATTATTGTTTGAATAACTGGTGTTAATTTTTTTCTATTTTCAACTATTTGATTAGCACGTGCCGAATCAATTTTTTGACAAATATCTAACTGTTTGTTGCAATATATGGAAATAAAATTTTCAGCAAAAAAAACGTTGTTTTTATGATACTCTGTGTCCTNCAGCAAATTAAACGTTATTTTTATGATACTCTGTGTCCTTATGCGTGCTAAAAATTTCAATTGCATTTTTCCATTTATTGAATGGTTTTGTTACTAATACGCCGGGTTTTTGATGTGCACCTTTACCGGTAAAATTATGATAAAATATAGCACAATATTTGCACACCGCTCCAGAACCTTGCATATTAGTGTAACATAACCAAGGGAATCGATTAATCCAATTTAATTGAAATTTTAACTTTCTATTTCCTGATATAGGAAATTTAAACTTTTCATCAGGAATCCAAACATTAGAAAGTAACTTATATTTTAATTCATCACTAACTTTTTGATCAAAACAGCAACCAATATCAGCTACATCACTCTTAGATTTTTCTGTTGTACCTGGTGTGATTGCAGTCAATATTGGACTTGAAGTACAGACTTCATTTCCGTCATGGGTTGTTTTTATTTTTTTATTAAAATAGTTTGTTAAAGTATTAGCACAATTGCTCTTACGAGTTGACATTTTATAGAAAATATAAATAAATTAAAATAACTACGAGTATTATATTCATTTCCAAGAGAAATATCACCACTTAATAATTAATAACTTTGTTCATAGGCGTCTCAACACAGAGTTACACCTTAAACAGTAAAATTCGCATTGCTCTATGAGTCTCAAGCAGGCGGTACAAGATAACATGTACATACAACTATGAAAAAAAAAAAATAATAAACGATTTTGTTGTATAAAATAAAGTTATTAATAATATTATTATTGGAGATACTGAATACCGATAACATTCTTTGAAAAACGGTAATACGGCCTACAGATAATAATTCTACTCTTCAACATGTTATCGTCGTCTGTCAATCGTTTACAATAAATCGCTAGTGATGTATATATCTATGTATATATTTTAATATGCTATTTATAAAATACGCCATTAGAATTCGTATCCACACAATTTCTGGATTATAAAATAATATAATATTTTACAACAATATAAATATGTTTAGAGAGTTATCTGTATTATTATGTAAATTATTAAATTTTAAAGTTCAGTTTATTAACTATTAAATAGTTTCGTGGGGGGGGGTAACCCCCAACCCCCCCCAAATATGGAGAATGAGGAGGACTATGGTCTTAGCCCTTTTATAATAGGCAAAAGAGTGGTCTGTCAATTAGTAATTAATTAAGTGAATATTAATAGGATCACTCTGTATTTCGTTATCATAATGTTTCATAAGCTATTAGTAGCTAGAATATTTTTTTAAAACTGCTCCTTTCCTTTTAATATATATATCTCACTAAAATTAAAAGTTGCTAATATTTTTCTTGAATTATATTTATAACTAACATATTATAATCATTCTTATAATTTTTTGTTGTAGAGTGTATAATTGTGTACTTGACCATTCTCTCTAATATAACTATAACGTTTGATCAATATTAAAAAATATTAACAAATCAATTGAAAAAAATTTAAATAAAAATTATTACAACACGAAAAATGATGATTTTTACATCAAAATAATGTTTCTGTTTAACAAAAAGTTTAGGGGCCGTTTAGATATAGATAATAAGGTGTCCGGACACCTTTTTTTTAAAATTTAATTTTACATATTATTTAAGTTTGGAGTATTTTTAGAACATTTTCAAAAGTAAATTGGAAAAGTTTTATTTTTATACGACTGTTTCAGGTTTTGAACCCCTCTAGAATAAGGAGAGTGGTCTGATTTCAAAAAAATATATCGGAAGAAAAGAATACATATCAGTTATAGAAATTTAAAATTGAATATTAAAATATAAAATTTGACCACAAAATAGCTGGTATTTTAACTTAAAGAATGTTAGTTTGTAAATTTTATTAAATTTGAAGCTCTAGATATATCTGGAACATTTTCAAAAATTAAATAAAAATACCGAGCACAGTAGGAGGATCGGCGGCTCAGTGGCATAGTTGGAACAAATAAAGATGATATCTGACAATGATTAAAATTACAATAATAAGAAATTATTAAAGTACATACTGTACTTAATTCAATTAGATTCTTTAATACAAATGTTTCTCCGGTGATTGAATCAAATTATTTTATCATGTTTAAAAATTTATCATCTGAAAAACTAGTAATTAGTCTAATATAAGATTACTTAGTAGTTCACTTATTAGTACTTTAAGTTGGCCATTCAAGTAATATATTAATTATTTCTTTTACTATTTGATAATATTTATTTTTAATATTAGTTCTTTTTATTAAAAAAAATATATATGTAATTTAATGCAAACCATTTCATAAATTTCTAAATATAGGATAAAATTATTTTATTACAACAATTTATAATTTTCTATTTGTATTGGTGTTGAAGGCTCTTCATCTATTGCTTTAAATTCTAATTCTAGATTCATAAAAAATTATTGTAAGACAACGAATTTATATAAAATATAATAAATAATTTAAATTTTAAATACCTAGTTCAGTCGGACCTATTGGTACAAACGTTTCTTCTGTGATTGGATCAAATTTGAATCCCAGTTGAAAATATTTTTCTATAATTACACTTCTTATATAAACCATAATTTTCCTGTTTAAGAATTTAAAAAATGATAATTTTATGTCTTTGTCAATAATGTCATTATATTCTTGAACCCATTCATTCCATAAATAATTCGTATCATAAGGTACATATTCACAATGCACATTTCTTCCTTCGTTTACATTTCTTATTATTATTGTTTTAAAATATGATTTTACAATTTTTAATGTCTGATAATATGTAGACATTTCATTACGTGATAAAGTTTGTTTGTTAAATTTGTCAATAATATTTGGAATAATCTCTAATAAAATACTTATTATTAAGTTATTTCTATCACCAGTAACCCATGGTTTCTTGTGTAATAAATCTAAAGCATCAATGGCACTTTTCATTAATGTTATCATCGGAACAATGAAAATTGATATCATGTTTACTAGTTCTTCGGTACAAATGCATCCACTTATTATGTCTTTTTCCTGAAATTTATTTTTACAGATTTTTTGGGTGTGAATAATAACTGAAGAGAAATTTTTTAAAACTTTTGCGTACGTACATGCAAGATATATAGTCATATTTCGTATTTTTTTATCACATTCAAGGTAAGTTTTAGGTATTTCAAATAAACTATGCAAATCAAATTTTTTTTGGTAATATGATATAGATTTTACATCGTTCAAATGTTTCCATCCCGAATACTTTAGTATCCATTGTATATGTTTTACTTTTTTACTCGTTTTTGCTTTTGTGTACAAAATTGATGAAAATAATAAAAAACTTAACATAAAAAGTTTTAATGAAAACATTTGGAAAATAATAATGATTATTTAAAATTAAAAATAATTAATATGAAAATGTTTGATAAAAATATAATTCGATGAATCTCAAAACACTCATTTTTATTGTGTTTTATATTTATAAATAATAAAACAAACATTTATGACAAAATATTTGTGGTATTATAATAAATTTTTTGATACTTTTATATGTAAGTATTATTCACCTAATTAAACATATACCCGCAATTTTTCAATTTTTTTTATCTATGAGTAAATAAAAAATATATAAATATAATTATAATTATTTTGAAAAATTATTTATTGTTTATATTTAAAAAAAATTAAAAATCAATTTTTAACATATTTATATTGATTGTTATTAACTGATCGTAAATTAACGATATTAAAAATTATAATTTTTTTGAGGATTTCTCTCATTTATACTGAATGAGTGAAATTTTTTCAATTTTTGGGGGTAATGTCTTCAACTAATTACGATTTGTAATCTTTTGTCTATCTATGAGAAAAATTAAATAAAGTATAAATAACTATTTAAATTACAATCGCATTATATAATTCTGCAACATATAATTGTTATTTAACTATTTTATTACTTCTATTTTTATGATTTATGTTCTTTAAATCCAATATCAAATATATATTTTAGAAGTACACTTTTTTCACTTTTATTATTCACGTGATAATAAAGAGTGTACCTTAAAACTTTACAATAATATGTAGTTACATAATTTTTGTTTTCGTCTTTTTAATGATAAAAAAATCAAAAATGCATTATTTTTAATAGGAATCCCTAATTTAAAATTGTTATGACAGAGAAAAAATTACATACAATTTTTAGCTTCGAAGTGAATCATAGAAAGTATTAGTTTTACTATGTTGTAGATTTTTTTGTGTTTGTCCAAAATAACCCCAATTTTAGAAATTTAAAAATATATTCTAATGTTGCAATAGTATAAAAAATGGCATTTAAAAAAACATTGTAGCACATTAAAATTACTACAATTTTTTTTTTTAATACCCATTATTTTTTTCTTATGTTAAATTGGCCGACGAAATAATAAATTCAAAAACAAAAATAAACTTTATTTTCAATTAAGTAAATAATATAACATGTATTTAATATTTTAGTGAAATGTTAAAACATATAAATCATATAATTACAAATATGTTGTGAATTTTAATAGATATGTGTCGAAATATTTTTTGTGATAGTGTATTTGTCAGTTAATATTTGATAGTACAGATAATATTTTTTATATTGTTACAGCTATGCCATATCTCTACAAAATTGGAACACCGTTGTGCTGGGTTTTTATTTCATAACCTTAACTATTTAATCAACCATTTGCGTTTTAAAATAATTTAAACATTTGAATGAAAAGTAAAAATTTTTGAATTATGAAAAGTATTTTTCATAATTTATTTGAACAATATTATTAGCTTTAAATGTAGAATAATCATTAAAAATATGTTTATTATTCAAAAAAATACTAATTATAATTTAATTTTAAGTCTGATATAAACTACGACAAATACGCATTAATAATAATTTTAATAAAAAAATCATAAATAGGAATAGAGCTTATAGTGACGGCAGAACTTTGAATATAAAATTGTATTTCTGAAGAATAAATATTCATAAAATAATATGTTAATACAAAGATTCATCTTTTATATCACATCCTTCTATAATTGGAAATACTTTAAAAGTATATTTATTAACACATACACTTTTATTTATCTTATTATATAATAGAACAAGGAAAAAAACGTTATTCTGGGAAAATTACTTATGATTTTATGAATTAAATTTTTAACATGTTTTTGTTACACTGATTCTGATGTAATATTTTTCCTGCAAAACACTTTTCGTACCAGGCGTAGCCTGGTACTCTTACCGGAATCAGTCGCCTACTTACGAGGATGTCCCAAAGAGACTTACGCGCGTGGGGTTTGTAGGGACCCAGCTAAGCGATGTCTAGTATATATATATATATTTATTTATGTTTAAGTATTTATCTATGCACACATACGTGATAAAACTTATCCTAGTACGAGATAATTTATAAATAATTATTATTTTTCACTTACAATAAAATCATTAATATAAAACGCTGATACGATCACATACGGTGCTCATATTTCTGTTTCTGCAGTTAACATAAGCCCTCAACTTGACATAAGAGCTTTAACACAGTAATACATATTAATACTGGCGGGAGGGCAAACTGCACACATAAACACTTTAGATATTCGCGGTCAGTCAAATTAATTACCTAGAGTCTCTAGGTGTCCAGCAAGTTGTTTTAGTCTATTAGCAGTTAGTTTATACAATAAAGTGTATTGTTGGGTTGATCGAAAGTGTTATATATATATTATTGTAGTGTGACTCTTGATAGTTCTTCCAAGGGTATATAAATTAAATAGGAAACCACAGTATCTAAGGTAGATATAGTATAGCTATATAGTAGATATAGCTACCTGTGGAGCAAGATATCAACATAAAATCTAATAATATAAAATTATAAACTTTTAGTTTGGAAAATTGGGAATTAACATATTTGCGTGTAATTTAATTTTAGTTATGTTTAGAAATTCATATTTTGCATGATTTGATGTAAGTATTGAACACAAAAATATAGGTATTAGTAACTAAGATAAATTTATCTAATTTAGATAACTTCAAAGTACACAACTTCAACTATTATAATTATATAGAAAGTTCAGTATATAAGGAAACTGGTATCTATTGTTTTCATTGCTTGTATCAATTTACTGGTTTTATTACTTACTGAACACTTTGTACAATATATAAACTCAACTATTATTAGTCATCAAAAGTAGATACTTATACACGTCTGTTAACATATTTAATGTTTTATGAAATTTTATTTAAATTTAACTAATGTTCCTATTATTAATTATTAGGTATGAAGTTAACAGAAATAAACCTTTTATTTGTATATTATATAAATGTAATTATATATTTTGTAAAAAAAAATGATAAGGAAGTTAATAATGAAAATTCTAAACTATATTCAAAAATAGTATGCATTTTATTTAATTTTTAGAATAATAAAATTATCTAAAACACATAATATTTGAAAAATTTACAAGTTTAAAATTAGTTACATAGGTATGTATTATTTTATTTTGGTACAGAAAAATGAATAAAAAAAAATTTATTGTTTAAAAATACGTGGTATGTGAATTTTCTAGAATCGTAAATTAATAAATATAGTTTAAAAGCGTATTTTTTTAGTTTTTTTAAGCTATATTTATTTTTCACTTTTTAGTTTCATGTTATGATAGTAGTTACTATCAATATCATGGTTGTAACGGGAAATCAGGGTTCGATTCCGGGGAGGGAGTCTGAGAAACGGCTACTACTTCCAAGGAAAGCAGCAGGCGCGTAAATTACCACCCACTCCCGGAACATGCAGGTAGTGATGAAAAATGACGATACGGGAATCATCCTTTGTAATCGAAATGAATACACTCTATATCTCTTAATGAGAATAAAGCGTATTAATATACATGTAAAGCGACGTAAACGTATCATGCACTAGGTATAGCCGTGTTTTATGGGCGGGTGGGTCGGACTAACGTTATACCTGAGGTATAAACGGCTGTAAGAATATTTTCGTAAGCCGCATGGCACGCGGATGGTATTGGTCAGTCAAAATAAAAATTTGTTTATATATATATAATATTGATGACACGCACTTGTGTACGGGAACGATAACCAAAAATAAATTTATACAGGGATAGTGATGCCGTGTGGTGAGCGAGGCATGGGATGAGGTGAATGCGTTAAGACAGTCTAGTCTCAAGGCCATAGACGACGGAATATGGGATAACGCGTGTCGCTTGGAGAGTTACAAACATACATACAGGTGAAACTAATATAAACGTGTTAAAAAAGTTGAAACTACACAAGTGGTGTTAAAATTATTTTTCCATTTTTAGAATTTCATTAAATTTTAATTGCCTAATTGTAAGTACTATGTAAATTTGAAATAAATTTGTTTAATCACTTTTATGAAATGAGATAATAAAGTTGGCTATTTACAGCACACCACGTGTGTTAAAAATCGTAAAATAATGACAAAATATTTATAAATTAATTTAAATGTGATATGAGTTAAGAAAGCATAATCTAAAGTATGCGAGAAAAAAAATTTAAGTTTTGACCTCGATATTTTGCTATTAAATTACTGTATAATGTAAAAATTTTGAACCAAAATAATAAAAAAATTATAAGTTCATAAATTTGAATAAAATTAAAGTATTATTATTGTAAGTAACGCAGTGCTAGTTTCGCAGTGATAGTCTATTTTGAATTAAGTTGTAATTAAAGACTCTATAACAAGGTATTTTTTCATGTTTTTATTTATAAAAATCAGGGTAAAAAAAAAATTTTTATTTTTATTGTCAAAGATTTTCAAGATTTGAAACATTGAAAACTTTCAATGATAAAAAGCTTTTAATGGTAAAAATTTGAAAAAAAAAACACCTGACTTTATCAATTTAAACAATATCTCAAAATTTCTATGCTGTAAAAAATGGTATTTTGAAAACAAAATATTTGCATATAAAATTGTACAACTTTTAAGACGATAAGCTTACTTCTTGTATGCTTTTTATGAAGATCTAATATAAAACATAAGCACTGGAAGAATATTGTTTTGAAAGAGAAACTTTATTTTCAATTAAAAAAACGGTAGCACAGTGGGGTCGCGGCATAGTAGAGACATTGCATAGTAGGGTCCAGTATAGATTTAATCTGACAGTGATTAAAATCACTATCATAAGAAACGCTTCGATGCAAATCTGTAGATAGTGTTTAATTTTAAAAAATTGATGGATAATTGCAAAAGCAACATCAACTTCTATTAAAATAAAATACAAAACCCATAATTATCATACAAAAATAGTATATTTTTCAATATGGTAGCCATTTGCGTATAGAAGATAGATCGTCGGGACAAATTTTTTTTTTTCATTTTGTAGTA